TTCAGAAACCCCAAAGCTTTCTCGCGCGGTCCCATTTTACTCGGAACAACCGCCAAAGTGCCATTCGAATCTTCTTTTGTTCAACGATTCTGCGAGTCCACGGCTAATTAGCAGTTGCATGATCAGCGATGCTCCTTTCCTCGTACACGTTGATACGCCAACTTCTATCCTTCGCCCGATTTCACGTATACCCTTTGCGAACTTTCAGCGTCCTACGCTCGACCTTTCGTGGTCTCGCAGATTTGAACCTCGCAGGCGAGAAACAAAGGTGGAGCAGAGAGTTATCGGAAGCTTCCGTCGACCTCGCGCAATAATTCGACGCAGAGTGCACGAAACGAGAAAGGTTAACGAAATGCATAAATTGGGAATTGTTGATTGGCATGTATTTATATTAGAAACACGATGCACGAAATTTACTCTCTTCCGAGCGACACCTTTGCCAAAGCAGTCTCGACGTATTTATCCGCTGGCATAGTGTGCACTAACGATTCCTTCCTGGATACTATAGCGGGTGAAAACAGTATAGGCGCACTTCGTTACAAGGAAATTCAGTTAACCAGAAGATTCCGATTGCAATATTTTCATTTCCATGGAACTCTGCGAATGCGTGCATCTTAGGGTTCATACGCAATAAGTATCGCTCCATGAAGATAAAATTGACAATTGAATTTTCAGTGATCTTCTCGGTTCTTTTCTAATTGCAAATTTGTAATTGTAGGAAATACAAGGAAACCTGGAGCACGAGGAACGTTTAACTTTTATCGTGAACAAAATTCTCGAAGAAGATTATAATCGCAGCGTGAAAAGATACTGGAACTTTGAGGGTTTATTCGTGTCCCATAAAAAGAGTCCACGACCGTAAAAAAATTATTACGGGTAGAAATCACTATGCTATACGTGTACACGAAGTTTCTGGTTATACGAATTTCCTTGTGACATAGAGCGTTAATACTGGTTATACCCACTGCCAAATTTTCGAAATAGAAATTTCAAAATTCCGAATGTTCTGAGATAAAAAGAGAGAAATTTGAATTTATATATAAAAGTGCATCGTGATCCTATTATAAACAATATAATAGAAAACATGCAATCATCGAGGAATAAAAATTCGAAGAAATAAAATTTGTTATTAACAAATTTT